TCCGGATGTACTGCCTGGGACATGGTTGTTGGGGTCATGGCTCTTCCTGCAACTGCTGGTAGAGATGGCTGGTTTCCCAGGATGTGAGTCTTTTACAGCCCCAGGTTACCATTGGGGTGTTGGCATGTCAGACGTAGTGAGTGGGAGAGAGTTGAAACGTAGCCTCTAATGTATGTCATGTAGTCTCAAACTCTTATCGAGGTAGTGCTTTATTAGAGCAGGGGCCCAGGAGCCTGCCTGCCAAGGTTCAAATCCCAACTCTGCCACTTACAAGCTTTGTGACCTTGGACAGGTTACTTAACATCTCAGTCCCACAGTTTCTCTCACCTGTCAAATGGGAGTGATAGCAGTGCCTACCGCATGGGAGATTAAATGAGTTAATACTTACAAAGTACTTAGAACACGGTAAATGTTAGCTGCTATTATTATTTTATTGTTCGTAGCTTCGATTCTCATCTTTCCCATTCTTATGTGTTCTCTGCCTCAGTCCACAAAAGTACATATATTAAAAATAGACATAAAAGAATCAAGGAGTTAGGAGAGTTTAACATTAATAAAGGGGAAGGAGGACACAGTTTGTTACATCGTTGTCCTTGTCCAGGAGGAAAAAGGTGACTGCATTCTCAGGAGAAGCCAGACTTGTCCTAGCACTTCAGAGGACTTCTGTGTGGTGCCTGCCCCACTTTGACTGGATTCAGCCTGCTGCTGGACTGTCCCCATTCCACTCATCTTCGTCTTTAATAACCCTTTGATGTCATCACTGGTGCCACATAGCAGCACTCAATCAGTGATTTCCTCCTTTGACCCTAAAACAGGTTCTTAATGTAGAGCCCCTGACCCTCTACAGGGGAGTCTATGGAATGGACTTGAGAAGGTATGTGAATTACCTGAAATTGGAAGCAAAAGTATGTGTACAGTCGACATGTATCTTTCCTGGCAGAGAGTCCATTAACTTTTAGCAGATTCTCGAAGACCTTTGGGACAGAAAAGGGTTAATTGTTGCTATAGGAGAAAGTCTAAACTCCTCAGTAATACGAGCTGTCATTTATTGAGCACTTGATAGGTGTCAGGCACTGGATTAAACCTTTACATACTGTGGTCCTCACAACAACCCTGTGAGGTGGGTACTATCGTTACCCCATTTTACAGATGAGGGACACTGAAGCTGGGCATCTTCCTAAGATCACACAGCTAGTAAAACAAGGGTTTAAATACAAGTCTGCTTCTGCTTCCAGCATCTGGCTCTCAGCCAGCTCAATGTACTGCCTCTTCTTGCAGACATTCAGGGCCTCCAGAGTTTGCCCTGAGCCTGCCTTCCTAATCTTACCCCTTTTCCTCATGTCTTAATCCTTTGTTCCAACCAAACCGTTTTCTTTGATATCCCAATTCTGCCTTATTTTTGGTTTCTTGCTTTGTTTGAGCCTCTCACCAGACAGGACATATCTGCTCTCTTGCTTTCCGCCTGTCCAAATCCCTGTGTATCTTCAAGTCCGGCTCCATCCCCACCTCCTCTGTAGAGCCTTTGATCCCCACCCCCGATGGGGCATCATGCCACACAGTCTTGTTTGTGAGAACTCTAGTCACGGCTGTCACTCATTCACTTCTTTGACCTATATCCATGTACCACAGGATGACATCTCTCCTGTGTTGTCTTAATGCTTTTCCTGATACTTTATTTTTTTTCTCCCTAAATAAATTGTAAATTCCTAGAAGGAGAGGACTAATGTTTCAGGAGCACCCACCATCTGTCCAGCTTTGCCAGGCATTCAGAACTGTGTCTGTTCTTTAAACTTCTCACCAGCTTTGGAAGTAGCTAGGGTGCTCCCCGTTTCTCAAGATGCTGAGCCTTAGAAAGACTGAGTAACTTAGAGGTGCCATTATGGCAGATTCAAGCCCAACTGTGTCTCAGTCCAAAGCTGCTCCTACTGCCGTGCTCACATAAAGCCATGTGGCAGGTGTGATTATCACTGTTTACACGTGAGAAGATGAAGGCTTAAGTAACGTGCTCAAGATCCCAAAGTCAGAGGCAAAATTGAGATTTGAACCAAGTAGTGGACACCAGAGTCTGTTAGATACTGTCAGAATCTGGATTATGAACTTAGAGGACAAGAAGCAAACTCGTAGCCAGAGCAAGTGGTCTGCTCAAGCAAGTGTGCATTCTGTATTGGCACGTGTTTAACAACAGGGAGATAGGGGATGTTTTTCCATAGATGCTCAACCTAACCCGAAGTCATTTGAAGAGACTGGTGAAATGGTGCGCACCCTGTTGTTGTTGTTGTTAATTGCAGTCAAGTCAGTTTCAACTCACTGCGAACCTATGTGTGCAGAGTAGAACTGCTCCAAAGGGTTGTCAAGGCTGTGACCTTTCAGAAGCTGATCACCAGCCCTGTCTTCTGAGGAGCCTCTGGGTAGGTTCAACGTTTCAACTAGTAGTCAAGTGCTTAACCATTTGCATCACCCAGGGACTCCATGGTGGGCAACCTACCTACTTCCAAAGCTGTCGAAGAGATTTGGGGTTAGGGTGAGCATCTACTGCAAACTCCCTTTGGAAGATTAGTGAGTGGAATAAGCCTCACAGGGTGCTGGTGTGTAGCTCATGACTTTTATCCACTTGAACCGTGTCATATGGAGTATCAGTGAATACCCAGGAGGTTGCTCTCAGCTAACTCGTGCAGGGAATGTATTTGCTGCATCGATCAGTCTTTGTCCTCTTATTTCTAGTTGGTGGAACCTCAAAGCCTCTTCTGTCCTACTGATTGTTTCCTTGAAATAAATCTTTCTTCAAGATTGAGCTTGTGCTTTCTTCCTAGTAAACAACTCCTCTTCTATCTAGCCTCACTAAACCTGTATTACCCCTCTCGTATTATAGGGAAGCCACTTTTTTCCCTAAGAAACACAGAAAAACTGTTTTATTGCTCTAAAATTTGTCTCCTGGTCCTTAAAAAACTAAGATTGTTTCGGTGTATCTTTGGCTATGTGTATTTTCACCAAAAAAAAAAAAAAGGTTGAGAGTTTAGAGGGTTAATATGTTGTGGGGTTGTTAACCAATGTCGTAAAACAACATGTGTACTACTGTTTCATGAGAAACTATTTGTTCTGTAAGCCTTCACCTGAAGTACAATAGAATATTTTAAAAAAAAAAACAAAAAAACTAAGATTGTTTCTTTTTTTTTAATTGTGCTTTAGGTGAAAGTTTGCAGAGCAGATTAGTTTTCTTATTAAACAATTAATACACAAACTGTTTTGTGACGTTGGTTACCAACCCCGTGATATGTCAGCACCCTCCTCTTCTCCATCCTGGGTTCCCTGTTTCCATTTGTCCAGTTTTCCAAGACTGTTTCTTGAGGCCAAAGCTAAACTAGGAAAAAAGTAGCAATGTAAGACAATGCCAGAAAAGGAGAGTTAACCCTCCTCACACCACCCCACACTGTACTGCTTTTTTTCCTAAATACTAATAAATACTTTTTCTTGACTAACCTACAGCAGAAGCAGATAGGAGCCTCCTCTCCTGTAGTGCTGCCACCGCATACTCATTTCATTCCTGCTTCTTGACTGCTTGTCCGTCCCCTAATGTGTTAACATATGCAACTGGTCCCGTCTTCCTACCAGCCCCACCACCCTTCATCTCCCTGACTGACTGTCCACTCAGTCCAAATACTGCATTTTTCTGGGAAGCCTTTTTTGATGCACCCCCATCCCCACCCCCAGTCAGAACAAGAGGCCGTGTGCTTTGCACAGCCCCGGGTGCTGCCCTCAGTCATAGCCTCTGTTGCACAACATTTAATGGATGGCCTCCTGGCCCATCTGTGCCACTTACCTATAAGCACCTCAGGGATAAGAACTGTGTCTGATCGTCTTTGTAGACCTGGCATCCTGTTCAGTGCCTGACACACAGGCATTCACTCAGTATTTAAAAATAAATGACAAAAGTCACTACTGAGCAGTAAGTTGTTAAACTAGTACAGACCCCACACAGCTCTGCCCTCCAGGAGGGCTTGAATTAGATTCCATTTTACCTCACAATAGCACTTTCTAATTCATTCTCAATTTTGCATAATCTTGAAGAGAGGAAAAAAAAAAGCCACATTATTTTGCATGTAAACTTAGGAGGGCTAAACTTCCACATACATTCTCTTCCTGCTCCACCAAAAAAATCTATTCCCATTCCACCCTCAACTCTTTAGCAGCTGACATTGGGGGTTATCATTCTTTAACCCTTTCTGAAATCGTTTTGTGCCTTTCTGTGTCTCCAGTGATAATAGGGTGACATCCTTCAGAGACCTCATTCATGATCAAGACGATGAAGAGGAGGAGGAAGAGGGCCAGAGGTGAGTCTTTGACAAGGAGAGGGGGCACAGTCCATACAAAAGCCCACAATAATGTGTAAATTGTGTAAATCACCTAGAACAGAACCTGGTGTTTGTGCTCAGTCATTGCCAGCCATTACTGTTGTGGGCTAGTCTGCATGGACTAGGAACAGCCAGTAGCTTAGACGTGATCCCTGCTCCCTGTTACCATGTTTTTTTCTTTTGTGACACTCGGGGGTTATTTTATTTTATTTTTTTAATTATTAAAATAATGTGTATTTATTGAGAAAACTAGGAGGAAGGAAACAAATCATTAAGAAAGAAAAAAAATCATAATTCCTTAACCAAGAGGTAACGAAGTATCAATACTTTGATGTATTTCTTTCGCTCTTTCCTTTTAATTGAAAAAGCAGTATAGCCGTGTAAATAACAATAGAAGGCTTATAAATGTATATTCCCCCAATACACACACAACATACAGATTTTTTTCTAAACTAATAAAAGTAATTCTTGACCATTGTGGACAATACAGAATACAGACAAAAAAGTGTAACATTCATCCATCTACCCTTTGGTAACTACAGTTAATATTTTGGCCTATTTCCATTCATTCTTTGTTCTGTGTATAAATATACTTTGTTTTATATTATATTTTACATGGTGACGGTCAGATAATTTTCTTTCTTGCTTTTGTGGATTAATGTTACATCTTCAGCACTTCTCCATGTCCTTAAAATTCCTCATAAGCATTTTCAGTGGTTATAATAATCATTATATGAAATGTCCAACATTTAGATTGAGTTTTTATTACTGTAAATATCAGTGCTGTGAACATCTTTGTGTATTAATTTTTGACCACATTTCAGATTATTTTCTTAGAATAGTCTCGAGAAATGGAAATGCAGGCAAGGATATGTATATTTTTAAGGTACTTGATCACAAGTCTCTTAGTTCTTAAGCCAGGGCTTTGCGATCCCTTAATAAAGCCCTTACAGTCCATTGAGCGGAACTTCATCTACCGTGAATGAACTGACTGTAGTCTCATTTCACGGGTTTCGGTTCTCCATGGGATCTGCCTTGGTCTGTTGAACATTCCTAAGGAACATTGTATATTAACCATTATGGAAATGCAGTTACCTCATCGTGGTCATGCTTTGGGAAGTGGGCTGAGAAGTTACATGCATTTTATTCTGTTTTCATCCACATTGTGGCCTTCACCCTGCCTCAGAGCTTTCCTTTTAGATACACTGAATGTTCAGGAATAAATGTTAATTTTAGGGCTTTACACTCCTTGAGTGAGAGGCAGCATCATCACGTATGTGATGCCCGGGTGCTAAATGACCTCCTCCTGCCACCCAAGCCCATCCTCCATGTGATAACCTTTGTTTATTTCACATCCCCACTGCTTCTGTGGCCTCTCAGCATTGCAGATCTGAAATGACACTGATGCTGTTGTCCTTGCCGAGGTCTGTGGCTTTGCCTTGCACCCCCTGGGGAATGTCAAGAAATAGAGGGCTGAGGCTAATTTTTACAGGTTCTCAATTCTCCCTACTCAGGCATGTCATACTGACTTAGCTGTCAGTGGGAATAATAAGGAGGCAGTTGGCCAGGCTATGTGACAACTGGTTTTCAGACCCTGGTAAAAAAAGTACTAAGTTAATCTCAAGCCATGCTTAGCCGTTGCAAAGCCCGGTATGCGTGCCTTGGGACTTGTACTTGAGGTTGCATCTTCTTCAGCCTTCTCCAGTGCCCTCTCCTCAGTGCTCACAGTGTCTGTCACAAGAATGGCGGGGTGAGGCGAGGCTTGGGTGAGCCTGTGGTGCCGTATCATACCACCTTACATGTGTGCATTACTCTGTGCTTGTTCTTTTGCATACATGCGCTGATTTGAACCTCACGGCCCTGACTTAAGGAGCAGGTAGGTAGGGCATGTGGTCCTTCCCTCCCATTTCAAAGACAAGGAAAGTGAGGAACAGAGCAGTTCTCTGGCTTGCCCAGGGTCACACAGTGGCAGAGCCAGGTCAGGAGCCTAGCTGCTTTTGCTAACCACACCACCAATGCCATTAACCCAGAGCTACTAGTGTAGCTGCTTCTGACTGTGACTGTAGTTGCTGTCTCCTGGAGAGCTGCTGGCCAGCTGATGGATAAATCCCAGCTGGGGCTCTCCTGAGCTGACATGCCATCGTGCATGCATGGAATGCCCTTCCCCTGATTTGTTCATGTGATAAACTCATCCTCACTACTCAGCCCAGAAGACAGCGGCTCTTCTAGGATCCCTTGACTGTACTCCCCAGCTCAGTACTCCCAGCACACCCCTCACTGACTTCTGGTGCTGCTCACACTGCATTAAACCTGCCTGCCTCCTTACATGTATTCCCAACTAGACAGTAAGCTCCCACAGATGGGCACCGTGCCCTTTATCTCGGTGTGCCCAGCACCTAGCCCAGAGCCTGGTGCCTGCTCTGTTCTGTTTTCCAAGTGCGTCTGGGTTAGAGATGTATTTTCTGCCCAGGTTTTATGCTGGGGGCTCAGAGAGAAGTGGACAGCAGATTGTTGGACCTCCCAGGAAGAAAAGTCCCAACGAGCTGGTGGATGATCTCTTTAAAGGTGCCAAGGAGCATGGAGCCGTAGCTGTGGAGCGAGTGTCCAAGAGCCCTGGAGAGACCAGTAAACCGAGAGTGAGAACAGGAGCTTGTCTCTGCCTCCTGGACTTGGGTTGTGGAGGCGGGAAGGAGGTCTTCTTCACCTCAGTAGTGACTGGTTTTGTTTTTGTGTTTTTCATTTGCTTACTTGGTCTTTTATGTCGAAGACCAGTTTCTCTCATCCCTTAACATAAAACCAAGATTTGGGGCAAAGTATTTAAACCTGTGGCCTATGGTCTAGGTCAGACTCTGCGAACATGTATTGTTTGGCCTGTCCAGTTCACCCTGCTCAGTGTTTTGCTTTGTTTTAATTGAATTAATAACCATCTGTTGTAACATAAAATCTGGATTTCTGACTTCTTTGGGAAGAATAAAAAATCTTTGGTATTATCCTGCACCCAAATTCCTACATGCTCACAGTTAACTAGAGCTGAGTAGCAGCTGCACCCTTTAGCCAGGCAGGGCTCCCCTCCCAGTTTTCTCCCGAGTCCTGGGCACTTAATTCATTTATGATACTGCCTAGCCCTGTAGGCACTGAGTTTGATACCCACATAGAGTGCATCTAGTACTTATCAAGCTTGATCAGGAGCCCTGGCCTCCCATCTTCCAGTCACCTAGGTAACCCCGCCACCATTGACCAATCCATGAATATTTATGAACTTATCTTTTGTAGCCCTTTGCAGGGGGTGGTTACCGGCTCGGGGCAGCACCAGAAGAAGAGTCTGCATACGTGGCAGGAGAAAGGCGGCGGCATTCTGGCCAAGATGTGAGTATGCATCTGCCTTCCCTGGGGAAGCTCATGGTCAAGAGGGGCTGGTCACCTGTTACGCACGGGCCAGCCTGCAGAGACAGTGCCCTTGCTGTGATGTCTGAACAGAGAGGGGTCCCCGAGACTCAAAGGCAGTTCTCGTCTGTCTGGGCAGGGGACTAGGAGAAGGGGTGCAGGGAGGGGACGGACAAGGAAAGAAGCTTCCTCAGCTTCCCATGGAGCTCAGGCAGAGAGGCACAGGTGTACCTGGGATTCTCAGGTGGTGTAGGCATGGCTGAAAACTTGGTCTTCAGACCACCGGAGGAGATCTGAAACAACTTTTTTTCTGTTAGTTTCCTTTCTTATCATTCAGTGCTTTTCCCCTATGCATAGGATTTCTCCCACCCCATAAGGAATCATACCTTATAGATAATTTTGTGTCGTTTATTTAATATGCCATATGCATTTTATGTAGCCTTGTGACCATTATTTTCTGTAATGTGTTTGTTTTTAATTATTTTGGGTTTCATTCCAAAACAAAGTCAATCACGCAAATAAAAATTCTATCCACCTGAGGCAGAATACATACACATATACTAATACATTTGTGTATTATTTTCCATATCTTTTTCTGTGAATATGTTTTGGGGGTTGTTGTTGTTAACAGAAAATGTAAATGTCATTTTTAATGACTGCAAAATAGTGCATGAGTCGATTTGCCGTGGTACTTTAGTTGAGCACAAGCTACATGCCAAGCACACTGGCAGCCCGACAGGTAAGGAAGCCATACTTTATTGAATCACCTGCTCAGAGCCACCTAGCTGGTGAGTGGCAAGGTCAGGATGCAAACCCAGGTCTCCTTAAAACAGCCCATGCGCAACCTGTGCCATATCACCTTCTTATTTTGGGTAAAGACTTAATTGTTGGTAGTTAATTGAGTTCCTTGTGCATGTGTGTGTGTCTGTGTATCTGTGACTGCATCTGTGTGTTTCAATAATAGCAACAGGATGAAATAGTAAAAACCCACTCATTTGCAGATTGACACTGGTGTGCTTGCCAGGTTCCCAACAGGGTATGAACTGCTTGTCTCCTGCCATCACAGGTCCATGTGGTGTTGAAGCTCTGGAAGAGTGGATTCAGCCTGGACAATGGCGAGCTCAGAAACTACCAAGACCCATCCAATGCCCAGTTTCTGGAGTCTATCCGCAGAGGGTGAGCAGAAAATCCCTCTTCTGGGGCCCATATCAGTAAGTGATATGGCAGAAGAGAAAGGAGGAGGCTGATGAGAACGTTTATTATTTGAGAAGTAAGTTTTTTGAAGCAGATTTGGCAGTTGAGATGCAGGTTCACAGATCTTAGTCTACTGCTCCAACAACCTTTGTTTGCTAATTTTTCCCGCTTTGGGTCCTAGGCAGAGTCAAGTGACCAAGTAAAAAAGTCAGTTTCTATAGTGACTTGAGCATGTAAGAGAGAAGGTAGAGGTAGCCACTGACTAGCCAGCTGCCTGTGGAGCCCAGTGATTCTCACAGTTGGAACTGAGAAGTTTCTTCTCCCCTCGCCCTATCACTGCTCTGTGTGGACCCAAGGCTTCCGTTTTCTGCTCCAGGGAGGTGCCAGCAGAGCTGCGGAGGTTAGCTCATGGCGGGCAGGTGAACTTGGACATGGAGGACCATCGGGACGAGGACTTCGTGAAGCCCAAGGGAGCCTTCAAAGCCTTCACTGGCGAGGGTCAGAAACTGGGCAGGTAAGGAGTAGCACAGGCTGGAGCGGGGCTGTCAGTCTCCTCCTGCTGAGCCCAGGAGACCCAGTGTGCCTCTCATTCTGCATAGCTTGTTACTGTTTACAATGCATTTCAAGTTTATTTTTATGGGAGGAAGAGTATGGTGTATGTGAGCTTCAAAGTTAACAAACCTAAGTTTAAATCTCTGCCTTGTCACTTTTTAGCTATGACCCTGGACATACAGCTTCAGTTTCCTTAACTATAAAATGGGTCTAATAACAGTCTTACCTCATAAGATTGTTGCGAGGGATAAATGATCTAATGCGTATAGAGCCTTGCAGTGATCTCCATGATGGCTTAAACCTGAAACAGACACATATACTTAGGTCACCTGAAATGGAGATTCAGAGGGAATAGGAATTCTGGATTCTCCAGCACAGCCAGGCCTCACAGAGGCTTGTTCAGGATCTAAGGAAGCTCAAGGGCATTGTTGCCCCTGTGCGGGCTGCTTCCTGTGACTTTTTCTGCCTTGTTCGCTTGTCTTCACTTCTGTACCCACTATCAGTATGTATTCTTGATGTTGCATTCAAGCCCCTGAGAGGATCTGGTTGGTTAATAGACACTGTTGTCTCTGATAGGCAGAGTTCTCCCTCCAGGCCCCTGGCCAGCCCATTAGCAGGCCGCCTTCTCTCAGGGGCCCACTCAGCTTTTGCCATGCCTGTGGGCTACTTGGTCAGCCTTAGAATGTAGTGGCCCTCACCAGTACAATCCTCATTTTACAGAGTGAAAGCTGAGGCTCTTGAATTTAAAGGGCTTGTCCTTGGGCACACAGCTGGTATGTGGTAGAGCCAGGACTGGTACCCAAGCTTTCTAGTTAACATTCCTTCCAACACATCTGACAGCAGGACACCCTCTCTGACTAAATCTGGCAGCTCTTAAGCTGGCCACTGCCCTTGCTCTCACCTCACCACCATCTGTAGGGATCAGAGTTTGGCCTACAGCAGCCATGCCCCTTGAGCTTCTGCCTGGCCCTTTCCTAGAATCCCTTATCTCCTTGCCAGCCATTCATGCCTTGTCGGGAGCAAGAGCCAGACCTCAGGACACCAGAGACCAATAGGTTGTGATTACCAGGACCTGAACAGTGAAGTCAGCCCTGCTGTCCTCATTTCATCTCCACACTGCTAGGGGTGTGGGTTAGTCCATGACAGCCATTCTCAGGGTGGTCCAGCTGTGGCTTCCCTGATAGCCATCAGCTATGGTGTGCTTGGTAGAGCACCAGGTAATTGCTTTTTTCTTATTATTGACGTAAAACATGGTCATTTTTTTTAAAAACTAGAAAATGTAGATAAAGGATAAAAACTATCCTTAATCCGGACACCCAGAAATGTCCAGTTGGTATTGAAGGAGTATTCTTCTCGTTCACGTATATAACGTGTGTGTGTGTGTGTATTTTTTGAATATACTGCTTTATCACCTGCTGTTTTGTGTAATCAGCACATATGGCTGTTACTCCATATCAATAAATGTATTTCCACAATTCTATTTCTACTGCTTACATAATTTCCTATCCTGTAGTTATGCTATAATTTAACCAGTCCCCACTGCTAAACATTTAGGCAGCCACCAGTATTGTGATCAACATTGCAGTGAATATCTCTGTAATTAAATCTTTGTGTACCCCTTAATCTAGGACATAGCCTAGAAGTAACAGTGCTGGCTTAAAAGGTCTTTATATATTTAAGATATTGCCAAATGGGCCACCCAAAAAGTTGTATCAATTTTGTGTCAAAACACCATATAGTTTGGGTTTAATTTCATAATACTAACAGGAGATGTTTCTACGGTTGGGAAACCTAACTGTATTATGTCTGCAGGACTTCACATCTCAAAATAAAATATTTTTGAAGAAGTCAGTTTTGGTAGGTTTGGAATAAGTACGTATTATCTTGTTGTGGAGGATGAGGCCCACAGGTTGAGATAGAGCTTGATAATCAGGTATGATGTTTTTCAGCTAAATAATTGTACATTGCCAGTTCCACTTGCATTTTATTTCAGTTCTTGCTTTTTCAAAATTTAAACTGAAAAGTTTTACACAGCTAAGTGAGGTGGGATTTTATCTGCTCTTTCATGGACAGCTTTGTTAATTTTTCACATAAATTTTGCTGCGTTTTCCATTGTTTTGTGGTCTGGCGAACCAAAATGATCGGGAGCCAGAGGTTTAAGAAAATTTTCACAGTAACGAACTTAAGATCAAGCTGAACAGGGGTGTTTGCCTCAAAAATCAGTCATTCCTGGTTCCCCCCACCCCCCACCCCTTACCAGATTATCTGGAAAACTAGTTAATGAATAGATTGTTCTCAGTTCAGAGATGTTGAGACAGTTCTTTCAGTCGTATTAAACTTTCTTGGTTGTTTTAAGTTTTTCATTTGTTTGGGTGGGAGCTAATCTGACTGAGAAAGACTCTGTGTATCTGACTTTTAGTAGCAAATCACCAGGAGTTCACTTGGAGCATCACTGCTGCTGGAGATGAGTTTGGCTGCTCCTTGTGCTTTCTGTGATGGCCATGGTTGTGAGGGAGATTGCAGAGACTCAGGATTTGCAGTATGTGGAAATGGAGCAATCGGGGAACCAGGCTCCCAATCTGAGTGACTCGTAGTTTCCCTATGACTTGTCATGTGGTGTTCCCAGGAAGACACAAACTCCTGGGTTTGTAGATGTCTTCTCATTGTTTTCCTCTTTGATCTGACCATTCCTGTCCCTGGGTGAATGCTCTCACTGCTGCAATGGACCAGACACTTTTTGAAAAGAATGGCTCAGCTGTTAGGAGTTTTCAAGTGAATCGAGCAGTTGGCAACTGGAATGCTCTTTTGAGCATCTTGCTCCAAATAAGAATCATGAGGCTTGGTATTGCAGTTTCTAAATGTCTTCTCCTTCACACCCCGTGCTCCTCGAGGACAGCACAGGCTGAGAGTGCCTTTCAGGTGACCTTCTGCTTTCAGCCCATGGATAGACAGTAGCATTTCCAGGTGATTTTGCTTCAGAGTTTCGGTAAATTACAGGTGAGATAGAACCTTGAAGAATGATAGTGCCAGCTATTTGAGTGTTTTCTGTTAGCTAGGCACTGAGCTAGTAAGCATTTCACATTACCCTGTTTGATCCCTACTCTGTAAATGAGGGTTGTGAGGCTTGGTGAGATTAGGTGGCCCCCGAGGTCAGTGCAGTGGGTTCCCACTAGTCTGTGCTCTTACCCACCACGCTGCACTGCGTCACGGATATCCTTGCATAACCACATAGACGTGTGTTTGCACTTCTAGGATGTGCTGGCTGCAGTGCAAATTTAGTTATTTTCTCAACTCGTTAATGTTATTTCTGAATTCAGCTCCATTTTATTGATGAAGAAACTGAGTCTTGGGGTAAGGTTTCTACTTATGGCAGACCCGAAATCCAGGCCTAGGTCTGCCGGACTCCAGGGCCTGGTGGGAGAGTGTGGCAGATGTTGAGAGCACAGGACCTAGAGCCATGCAGCTTGGATTATATCCAGGCTCCACCTCAAACCAATACTGGGATCTTGCAAGTTGCATAACCCAGCCGTGCCTCAGTTTCCTCATCTGTAACATGAACGTGATGAGTCCCTACCTCATGAGGACAAGGTAAGTTAGAGCGTCTGAAGCACTCAGCACAGGGTCTGGCTCAGTAGTGGGTGTGTCAGAGGCAACTCAGCCAAGTTCAGTGCATCAGGCTATCCTCAATAGGCACCAGTCAGCTCTGTGCTGGAGGCCAGAAACATCAGTTGTTGTTCTGTATGGAGGACTTCCTCCAGGGGGCGCTGTTGGGCCCTCTGTTGACGTTATCTCATTGAATCCTTATGGCTTGGTCAGTTTAGTGGTAGAGCTGGGGCCAGATCACAGGCCTGTGCAACTCCAAAATGTGTGTTGTTTCTCCAGTGTCAATTGACCCTCGATAATCATGGCTGCCATTTAATGGACCACTTACCCTACAAGATAGGGAGGTGGTAGAGCAAGTGTCCCCATTTTACAGAAAAGGACGGTGGGGTCCCAAGATGTTTAATAACTTGCTGAGGTCACACAGCTCTTAAGTGGGGAGTTGATCACATTCCCTGGGGGCAGGAGAGTAATTTGAGAAAGCATTTTCAACATAAATATATTTTCCTAGAGTAACCCATAGAAAGCAAAGCTTGGCAAACTCTTGGCTGGAGTGAACACACAGAATATAGAGGGAGAAGTCCTGTTCATTGCATTAGTTTTAAAAACTGCTCCATAGCATGTGTTTCTGTGGAATGGAGAAAATCCCCACCTCAAAGGCTGGTTGTGATCATCACTGAGGCCATGAGGAGTGAAGCCCACTTAGACAAGCTAGTACAGTAAATGGCATTCCTGTTTTTCTCCTCCCCCTCCTGCCTCTCACCTTTGCTGAACGGAGGATGTCAGCTACTTTGGAGTAATAGCTTCCTTCTCATTTTAGGCCCGACTGAAAACTGTGATAGCAGCTCTCTAGCAGGCATATAGCCACTTGGAGTTGTTATAAACAGTTAAGGGACAGGCTGCCTACGGTCTACCAGTAGAGGCAGCCTAATGAACAAAACTGCTATATAGTAGATTTTAGGCATTTAGAGATTTAACATTTAACCTTCCACTGTTTCCGAGCAACTCCTGAGACCTGTGGTGGTGTAATTTACCCCTGTGCCACGACCCACGTTTGAGTCCCACGTGCTGTGAGGCTGATGCGTAGATGTAGCTGCTTTCTTAGTAGGAAGTGTGGCCAGCGTCCTCCTCTGGGCTCCACTCTGTAATTCTCTAAGCCCATATTTTTCACATTCACAGAAAAGGGTAAGTTCACTTTTTAGTTATTCTTCATTGATTATATGTTCCAGGGCATTGTTTCCTGAACTGAGTTCCATGAAATGCTCTTTCTGCAGGTTAACAAATGTAACATAAAAAGAGGGTCTGGTGGTCCGATAAGTTTGTCTTAACTGCATGATCTTCAAGACCTTTAATATGCTAGTGGCTTTTGAGGCTGCTGGTGCAATGCGAGGCATTTCCCACATCTTCCTGGAGCTATGTCAGAAGACTAGGGTCCCATGGAACACACTTTGGAAAGCACCTTCAGTTGGGTTTGCTGAGGGTGCCCTTTTTAGGCTGTTAGGATGGGAGGGAAGGGTTGGGTGTAGGTACTGATAGAGACTTTGTGGAGGAGAGCAAGCTCTTATCTAATGACCTCTCTTCTCAGCAGAAGTCTAGGCCAGGTCTTCTGCGAAGAGAAAGGCTGCGAGTAGGACAGATAGGGGGTTCAGAAGACAGGGAAGAAAGCTCTAAACCATTGTGGAGAATTGGGGATTCTGGGTGCATTTGCATTTGTCATCCACCCTAAGTATTTCATGTAATTCTCCCCTTTTGTCCTCACAACAAATGAGCAAGGTTTTTTAACCCATGTTAAAAATCCTTGTTACCACCCTTGTTGAAACTAAGGGAGCTTAAGTTACCTGCCAAAGCCATGTAGTGGGTGAATTCAAACCCTGGTTCATCCAGGTCTAAGATCTGAGCTCTGGACCCTGTGGCACACACCATGTCCTGTTCATCTTCATGTAATTAATCCCTATGGTGCCTGGCACTTAGATCACCTTCCGGAAATCTTGGCCTCTTCCTGATAGTTGATGCATGAGTATGAGATATGCACAAGTGACATTGCACTAGGGAATGCTGGCCTGAAAATTCCATCACAGGAAGACGTCAGACTCCTCCCTGACAGACATCGCATCACTCACACCAAGTCTGCCTCAACTGCTTTCCTTTGACATGCCCCTCTCCCCACTCCTCCCGCCCCCGGCTCCCCTGCACACTGCTTTCCTCCTTTCACACACTTGCTCGGGTGAGGACACGGAAAAAGGAGGAGGTTGAGTAACTCACCCAAGGTTAGTGAGCTAGGAGTGAAGGAGCTGGCAGTGATGTTGGATGATTCAGGGTTTGGGGTGAATTCTGCTGGACCCATAAGTTCCATGAAGCAGGAGTTCTGTATGTCTCAATCACTGTATCAGCAGCACCAAACACAGTGCCAGGTACACAGCAAATGCTCAAAGTCTGATAAGGGGATGCCTTTCCTGCTGGGGGCTTGTTTCTGTTGGTGTCCTGATGCGATCCTCTCTCCTCAGCACTGCCCCCCAGGTGTTGAATACCAGCTCTCCAGCCCAGCAGGCAGAAAACGAAGCCAAAGCCAGCTCCTCCATCTCAATCAACGAGTCAGAGCCTACCACAAACATCCAGATACGGCTCGCCGATGGCGGGAGGCTGGTGCAGAAATTTAACCACAGCCACAGGTACCTCGCATTGTCTGGCCTAGCTTATGCTAGGAGTGTACTCAGATTACAAACACATGGGAAGCAGAGGGCTGTTCTTCCTCATAAACACAGCAGGTCCTCTGTGCCATCCTCAGAAGAGGCAGTAGGATGGGAAGGGCTGCGGATCGGAAGCCTTTGGTCCTGTCCCCTCTCCCTTATTAGTGTGCCCAATGACTGCTCACCTCTCTCCTATGGTCTCGCTGCTCATCTGCAAAATTAGGGGATTGGATTCAGGCAGTGGTCCCCAGTTTTTTTAGACATTAGACTTCTGTTCAAAGGAAATTTCATGCTACAGCCCAAATGTAGACCAGATATAAATAGAACTGCTATGGTTGATGGAGGGGAGGGGGCACGGTGCTAGCACCTCACCCACCTGGCATCCCCCACTGGCTAAGGGGCCTCTGAAAACCACTAAGCTATTAAGTCTCTTCGAGATCTGGCCTTTGAAAATTCCAGAAATACCTGCTCTTCTATCTCAGACCACCTGGACAAGGCAAACCATCTTCTCTCACCAACCACCACCCCCTGGTCTTAAAGATGAGGAGGTGCCAGAAGATACATTTGGCAGCTTCTTTCTCTAGAACAGGAGTCCTTGGGTGGCGCAAATGGTTCAGCGCTCTACTACTAACTGGAAGGTTGGCAGTTTGAACCCACCCAAAGGAGCCTTAGAAGACAGGCCTGGCAGTCTGCTTCTAAAAGGTTTCAGCCTTGAAAACCCTGTGGAGCGCAGATACGGGGTTGCCATGAGTCAGAATCAACTTGACGGCAACTGGTTTGGGTTTTGGATTCTTCCCTAGAACAGGGGTATCTACATTTCAGCAATGATGGGCCAACTAAATCAGAACCCATGGGAGGCACGTGAATTGTTTGATAGTCATTGAGAATTGACAGGGTTCACATTAGGGTAAAGCTGATAAGCCCCAGGTGTGAGTCTGGTGCACATGGCGGCTTTATTCAAATGTTTTCTTTTTATTATGAGCCCTTCCTTACACTTCAGGTGCTTGGTGTTTAAGGGGTTAACCCGTCTCACCATGACCTGAGTTTTTTCCTTCAGTTTCCTTTCACTCTTTAAAGGCAGCCTTTCAACACAACTGCTGCTTACGCGCCAGGTGCACAGCTTACCCAGAGTGCTCACCAGCTGGGTGAGAGGGGTTTGCTTGCCAAAGTCTCAGGCTGTACCTCAGATGTCCAGACCCTTAGATGTGCCAAATTTTAGATTGCATAGAAACTTCTATTTAAGTAGAAACTTAAGTGCTCTAAGGAAGAAGGGTATCTGTTTCCAGGTAACTCTGGTCTCACATGATCCCCAGGTGCAGGACACAAGCAGTGTCTGGAGGAGGGATCCTGGTACTCAGTAGTTGCTGCGCCTCATTAACTCTCCTGGACAAATAATTTAAGGGCCTCCTGTGATGTACAAAATAGACATGTTTTCTGTCCTGTGGGATTCATGGTCTTCAGGAGGAGACAGACTTGATCAGTACAGTGGAAGGAAGGCCCAGGAACATAGACCAGGGGCTTAGGGAAGGCTGCCCAAGAGGTGGCTTTCGACCCAAGGCCTGCGTTATGATTAAGATGGGAGGGGATCTGGCAAAGGAGCTTCTAGGAAGAGGGACCCAAATGTCGGAGGGCAGCATGGCCTGACAACTGAAAGGAGAGGAAAAGAACAAGGAAGGAAAGGAGGCTGGTGTAAAATCAGGCAGGCCTTGGGACCACAGGGGTTGTGTTGATCCCAAGGGAAATGGGAATAACATTGAATGGTTTTAAGCAGGGCAGTGACATGATCCAAAGTGTGTTTCCAGTGATGGTGTTGGCTGCTCTGTGGAGAAGAAATGGGGTGGGGGGTCAAGGGAGGGGACAGGGTAGACAGTAGAGATGGCTCTGCTCACCCGCCTCCCCACTCACCCCCCTCTGCACCAGGATCAGCGACATCCGGCTCTTCATCGTGGACGCCCGGCCGGCCATGGCTGCCACCAGCTTTGTCCTCATGACTACCTTCCCAAACAAAGAGCTGGCTGATGAGAGCCAGACCCTGAAAGAAGCCAACCTGCTCAACGCTGTCATCGTGCAGCGGTTAACATAACCAGCCGCCTCGTACCCTCCTGTGTCTCCCCACAGCCCTCAGCCAGGCTGCGGTGGAGTCGCCCCTCTTGCCCCTTGTACACACCCAGCAGTCCAGTGCCACGTCTCTCTCCGTAGCTCTGGGTTCTTAGATCTCAGTTGGACATTTGTTTTCTCCTTAGTTGCATTTTCTGGGTTTTTGTGATGATCAGTGGACTTTAAAGAAAAAAATAAAAACAACCAAAAAAATTGAAGGACTATCACCAGCATGTTGTATGGAAACTCTCCTACTGAAGTAGGCTTGAGTGCTTTATGATCACATTTATCTTAAAGCAGATAAATGATGAAAGGACATAGACCAGGGACTGGAGGAGGAGCCTTCCTTTTATTCTTAAAAATTGCTGTGGCATACAACACCCATCCACCAGTATGCCCCATCACCACCCCAAAGATGACTACGTAAAAGATTTCCTCTTTATAGGAAGGGGGCGACTTGTGGGAAACAGGCCTTGCAGCCCCTCAGCCCTGTGAGAACAGATATGCCCCCATAAAACTGGGCAGCAGCAAGAGTGTCCTGGAATGTGAGGTCAGGCCTGGACGCTCACAAGCCTTCGGGTGAAAGTACTTCCCTGAGCTCCTTTCACCCCATCGCCTGGGATGGTCAAGCTCCTCAGGCTCTGGCCAGTTGAGATTCTACCTTCCACCCCCCTGCCCCAGCCATTTCCCTCCCTGGACCGGGCTGTGCTCTCACCTTCGGGGTTCTTAGCTGCTCTGTTGTTGCTCCGTGGGCTCCACGTGCGGAAGTCCTCCAGTGTACCTGGGAGGCAGGTGGAGTATAATTTCACTGGGAAACAGTTTATGCCGCCCAGACGAGTTCAGAGTCATGTTTCCCAGCCTGAGAAAGCAACAGAACCAAAATGCCGCCTAGACATTTGGTAGTGATGTGTGGCAGGTCAGATGTTGAGGAAGGGGTGGGCCCCCTGTGCCGCAAGCACACAGCACCTTTTACTGTGGCTGGTGTTTACAAAAGAGGCTTCCACTGAGCTGATTTTGAGGGTGAGTATAACGCAATGCATGGCTTTGGGGTGCAGGTTCCGCTTCAGAATTGTCCTCTGCCCTGAGTTCTAACTTGCAACAACCTAGGCAGTAGTCCCATCTGGTAAAGACCCTTCACCCCCACCAAGGTTGCTTCCTGTGCAGGTTTTGGGGAGGAGGGTCCTTGGGGTCCTGGATGGAACCCTTCCCACCTCCGCATTGAATGAACCTGACTTACAATTGACACCGACTCAGAATCTCTTGGTTTTGAGTCATAATCGTGCCTGGGTCCTCTTTCCAAGCAGTCATCAATCACTTTTTCTTTCCGGCTTCCTCTCCTGTGATGAACCAAGAGATAACACTACATCTCATCTCCACCCAGACCCATCCTGAGAAGGGAGCTCGGCTTGGTGCTTCTGGTTCCAAGCTGGCGGGGGCCCACCAGGCCTGCAGCACCTCCGGCAGCGTTTCCTTTCGCAGGTGGAGGTAACCGTGGAAACTAAATGGTCTGGAAAACTTGTAAATTGTCACCTTGACCATTAAAAACCAGAATGAGGACAATGGCGTTCTGTACTTTTCTAACGGGTTGCTCTGAAGGAATTTAGTAACAACAGCCACCTGATCTTCACAACTGTCCCATCTTACAGTGCAAAGCCTCAATTCCAGGGCACAGTATGTAAGAGGTCAGGTGCTGCCTGTCTGCTTCCAAAGCCTGTGCTCTGTGCCCTTGTATTCGCTTGATTCCACCCCCTTCGTGGGCTTTCTGCTTACGTTCATTAGTATACACCAGAAGACGTAAATACGCCAGCCTCTGTCTGCACCATCTAGCGCAGTTCATGCACAAAGAGCTGTCATTGGATCTCCACCCAGTCCTGGGAAGTAAGCAGGGCAGCTGGTCTCACTGTCCCACTGCTGGTGCAGCCGCCACAGTCCAGACTGGCTAGGTGTCTCACCCAAGTCAGGGATTGCAAGCCACAGAGCCAGGGGTCATACCGGTCTGGTTCTAGGTTGGGAAAGGATATTTCTACCCCAGCTTTCTGTTCTAGGTAGCCCTCTAGATGAGAAAACCCATCCACCCAGATAGGCTTTCACAGGTTTCAAAAAAAGGTACACTCAACAGCTACTGGTCCTGGGGCTTCTGAGCTCAGGGCAGTTCTTACTTGAGGCATTTTGGGTATGTGTGAGGGCACTTTGGATTGTCCCCAAAATTGGTCCACTAGTGAAGGACCCTCCTAAATAGGCTGGGGCCAAGGATGTCTTGTAATGCATGGGACATGTCCTGATGGAAAGGTGTCCAGGATTCATTGCTGAGAGAGAAGGTAAGCTTGCTGTCATGATGGTGCCATTTCTGGGTACTCAGTTAAAGCCAGAGTTATTTAAATGAGTATTGTGGGACATCAGTACTGTTCCTCTCTGGTCTTGTAAACCACACCAGGCCAACCAACCATGTGGGTATGGTTGTATGCACATCAGATTGCTTCCTCGGGAGACAGCCCTGGGAGGAAGCAGGCT